TAGATCACAGTATAATAATTTGATCGCTGTAGGCAGTGATCGACCAGCAGGGAAGGGGTTAATTTTTAGTTGGACTAGGTAAAGGGGGGTGTGTGTGTTTTTTTTGTTTTGTTTTTTTGTTTTTTTTTCTTAAACGTTATTAAAACTTTTTTTTAAGCTTAATTCTTATCTTTTTAAAGTTTATTTTAAAACTTTTTTTAACGTTAACCCCTAGTTAGCCTAATGCCAAATCTCCCAATTCCCCACTAACTTCCACCCACCCCAGCTAGCTAAATATATAATTTTAAAATATTTTAATTAATTAATTAAATAAATTTAACCCCTGAGGGTTAAAAAAAAAGAATTAACCCTCAGGGGTTAAAAAATAAAAAATAAAATCATTGTAAAATGTAATCCCTGCCAATTGATCACTGTAGTCAGTGATCAATTGGCAGGGAAGGGGTTAATTTTTTATTACAAATGGGTAAAGGGGGGTGGGACTTTAAATTAACTTTATTTTTTTTACAGCAGGGGGCAGGATCATGCACTGTTCCGGCTCCCTGCACTTCACACAGAACCAGGAAGTGCAGGGAGGCGGAAGGTAAGTATACAGAGCACATGTGCTCGCTCTGACTTGCGGTCAGAGCGAGCACATGTGCTGGCCAGCTTGACTGGGTGCTCCCGGTCTGCCTCTAATACAGAGGCAGACCGGAGCACCATTAACCCCGCGATAGCGGCGATCCGGGGTTAATTTTACCGCGTGACGGACGAGGTCCGTCACTCGTCATTAAGGGTCTCTCCTCTGTGACAGACCTCGTCCGTCACCCGTCCTTAAGAGGTTAAGAACAAATGTGAGGCATCCTTAAGGCAAATATGAGCACAGGAAGCGTACGTGATCGCTTCCAGCCCCTCTAAGGGTATTGCAGTGATGCCTCAATGTCAAGGCATCCCGCAATACCTCCCCTGACTGCCAGGCCGCCGAGTGGTTGCTCCCATATCTATGTATATTTCCACATACACCTATTCATATACATATATATGGGTCTATGTATGTGTAGGCACATTGGTATATGTAAAAACCAAAGGAAAAAAGTTACCTGTGCTCTTTCCACATCCCTATGTATTTTTAAACAAATGGAGGTTTTTAGTTACCTCCAATGGCCATGAGAGGGTATGCCCACCTGCCACGTCAAGGCAGACCTCTTAGGTGGGTCCTAACTCTAACTATTCGCCTTGCTTCCTTGAGCTTCTGGCAAAATATCTCTAATGAGACAGAAAGGGATATTTTTTATATACATCCCTACATGCTTATTAACCCTTAATAGGGAACACATGGGCAGCAGCATTGCAACCTAGCTGTGTGATACAAAAGTGAATACAAATACAAAGAAACTAGTCCTGCGCTCAAACTCCCATTACTCCTGGGTGGCAGCAATGACTATAGTACACATCATTGGTATATGTGTAGGTACATGGATTGGTGCTTGTGTGTGGATGTATGTGTAGGTGTGCATGTACATATATTTAGGCATTCGGTTGCATATTGTATGTACTTTATGTACTGTATGTATAGTGTGTATGTTCTTGTGTATACTTGTACATATGAACTACTTGTGTATATGTACATGAGTGTGAGTGTGTCTGTGTATGCTGGATATAGGCCTTCATGCATATCCTGTAACTCTTGGATGAATACTCCCCCCTTCCAGTACCATCTTCTGCACTGTTCGCTTGTTTTTTTTTTTTTCTCTCTCTCCCCCCTCACTCTGTGATCTTCGCATAAGATATTTACAACCCTCTGCAAGAATGGTGTCTATGTTCTATCAAACCTGTCTTATCTGCACTCCTGTCGCTTTAACCCCTGTATCACAACTCAACTTTCAATTCTATGTGTCGTCTTGCTCAGAAATGGTTCAGACTTGTGAAAGGAGGGTTCTCCCGAAAGCTTGTCATTAAAAAATTCTGTTAGTCAAATAAAAAAGGTATTACAATCCGGTTCACGCATGTCCGACCTGCCATTGTTTGTGGGTCTTGGGTTGGCACTTCACAGTTGGTCGGATGCGGTGGGGACTTTGACCGAATGATTCCGGCCATTAGGGACCCTTACCATCCGGCTCAAGAGGGAGCTCGGATCGGGCTGGGATCTACCCTCAGCTATACAGTCACACACGGCAACTTGCCGCCAGCTTGAACACTAAGCCGCTCTGCTGTTCGTTCATAGACTCTGATGAAAATGAACTCTAAGACATAACTGAGTAGGGGTACTTAAACAAAATAAACTCAACTAACAGGTCCCACAGTAGAGGAGGAGACAAAGGAAAAAACAAAAAAGGGCAATTACAAAATGTACAACATTGTACAGGGAGAAAAAAGGGAAAGTAGGACACAAAAAAAGGGGAACAACCAACAAAACAACAAAAAAAAAAAAAAGGGAAAAAAAAGTGGAAAAAAACCCATAACATAAAAAAGAAAATAATAAAAATAATTTAGCCTAAATATGGAGGGACCCCAGATAAACACACAAATCATAACATGAATGAGTATATTTGAATACTTCTACACACGATAAGATAACATACTGGTAAGAAACAAGCTGGGGCAGGGTGGCTGGGGTGAGAATAAGGCTGCGGAGGCTGGCCTAGCACTAGCGGAAAATCCCACAATACTCCACTTAACTGTCGCTCTGATGAGAAACCCTGCTAAGCATCAGAAGGCAAACACCATAGGGCCACAGACTAACAGAGCTCCCCCCGAGATGCATGCGACCTTGGTTTCCCCTGGAAGGGAGGAAGGGAGGGCGTACACGGTAGTCGCAGGGTGGATATAGGAGCTGACAGGCAGACGCCCTCATAAGGCTCTAAGGACCGGGTCCCCTAAATTATGTGATCATATACTAGATTGTTATGGTACCATATTGTTGCATGTTTAAATTAATGTTGTATTGCTGTTGACCATCTACGGGATGTTTGAGCATATTACTCAACACCTAAGGAGATGGGGTGTATTTTATCGTATTTTATGTTATTTCTGCACGTTTCAGTAGCCATCAACGAAAGCGCAACAGCACGCAAGGGGGGAGGGCTGACGAACCTGCATCTCTACCGAACGCTTGACTTGGGTGGGATGCGGGGTCTTGACCCCCACAAAAGTCTGGCAGAAAGTAAGACCAGACAATGTCGGTGGAGCACAGGAGGTGCACCACTTATTTTCATCTTTTTTCTTTTTCCATCTCCTTCTTTACTATACTCCCTCTTCTTACTTCCTATACTCTCCCGGGGGGGGGGGGAAGCAGTAGTGCACAGCGGGGTGGGACGCGGAAAAAGCAGAGGCGGGCGCGAGCAGTAGCAGACCGTGTGGAATGGACCTATGGCAGTTAAAATTACGTCACTGAATGTGAGGGATCTGAACTCCCCAACTAAACGGCACTTATTATTTAGAGAGCTTAAAAGGATGAGATCCGATATAGCATTTATCCAAGAGACGCACATACCGAAACAGGCTAAATTCAAACTGAGGGACCACACATATAGCTTGACGTATGAAGCTAGGACATTATGCAAACGCAACGGAGTAGCAATACTTATACGCAATAGCTGCCCTATTAGAGTTACGTCCACTGAATCCGACCCAGAGGGACGCTATGTCATAGTCTCGGGCACCCTGCTCTCCCACTCTATACACCTAATTAATGTCTATGCACCAAACCACCCAGAGGCAGTTTTTTGAGAGTCACTACGGGACAAACTCCAAACCCTATACCATGGGATGATTGTTGTAGGGGGCGACTTGAACACGACGTCGAACCCGGCAGCAGACAGGAGGGCAGGCAGCGGCACACAAAGATCTCAGGGGAGGGGGAGCCAAGACAAATTGCTGCAGAGATTTATGGCGGGGTCTGGGTTGGTGGACGTGTGGAGAGCACATCATCCGACTGCGAGGGATTACTCTTTCTTTTCAGCCCCACATAGATCCTACTCAAGAATAGACATGTTTCTAGTTAACAATAGGAGCCTACCGCGAATAACTAGCACAGACATTGGATCCATCACTTGGTCGGATCACGCAGATGTATCACTGACACTAGGGAAGCTATGTGAAGCGACCCCATGGATGTGGAGACTTAACGCCTCCCTATTGAAGGACCAGAACATAGCATCCCAAATTAGAGCAGACATAAACAGTTTTTTCGAGACGAACACCACCCCAGACATGACACTAGCGACAGTATGGGCAGCTCATAAGACCGTAATAAGGGGCACGCTCATAAAACTAGCGACAGCCAAAAAGAAATTGAAATTCCAGAAATTAGAAGGCCTACTGACCGACCTCAAGAGGGCAGAACAACAACACCAGAGCAGCCCGGACAACATAACTACAGGACGACTGGGGGAGATACGACTGGCAATATGCCAACTGCTCCTGGACGACACCGCCAAATCCATCATGTGGTCCAGAAGAACCTTTTATGAACACGTGAACAAAATGAATACACGCTTAGCTAGAGTATTGAAACCTAGACACAGAGGGGGACACATCACATCCATTAGACACAATGACGGCTCAATTAAAATCAGCCCCCGAGATATAGCGGAAGTCTTCACGGACTACTACAAATCCCTATATAACCACTCACCGGGTTCTGAGATGTGGACGGCGGGGGACGAAGCAATTCCTGGGAGACTTAGGGTTTCCCAAACTAGCACAGGAAGGGAGGGAAGCATTAGCGTCAGAAATCACAACGGAGGAGGTGGCACAAGCCATAGCTGCCTTGAAAGGGAACAAAGCCCCTGGTCCAGACGGTTTTGATGGGAGCTACTACAAGGAATTTCGGGACGAACTTGCTCCACACCTGGCAGCCCTGTTTAACGAATTTAGATCGGGAGGCACCCCACACACGGATATGTAGCTAGCAACCATTGTTTTACTGCCAAAGCCAGATAAGGACCCGTGTGTCCCGAATAGCTATAGACCTATCTCCCTGATTAATCATGACATGAAAATATTAGCAAAAATTCAGGCAACAAGACTGAACCCTTACTTGGCTACTCTGGTGGGTGCAGATCAAGTAGGATTCGTGCAGAGCAGACAGTTGTTTGAGAACACCCGTAGGAACATAGATCTCATTTGGAAACAGAAGGTCACTCACACCCCAACTATGCTGGTCTCATTGGACGCTGAAAAAGCGTTTGATAGGGTTTCATGGACGTACTTGTTCACGCTTCTGTCCCATATGGGATTCCCCACGCAAGCTATAACTTTGATTAAGGCCATGTATAGCGACGTACGAGCACAAGTGAAAATCTCAGGAGCCCCACTTACTCCATTCCGCGTACACAATGGCACCAGACAAGGATGCCCACTGTCCCCACTTCTATTTGTCCTCTCCCTGGAGCCTCTACTCCAAGCCCTTAGGTGACACCCGGACATACGGGGGGTTCGTGTGGGAGGGAGTTCCTGGTCTCGGCGTATGCGGATGATGTGCTCCTGACGCTCACTGACCCTATTAACTCAATGAGGGCCTTGCAGGGAGTCCTGGAGGACTATGGGAAAATATCAGGATACAAAGCTAACATGACCAAATCTTGCGCCCTCCCAATAGGGATATCGGACGTGGACATAGCATTCATCCAGAGGGCACACCACATACGCGTAGAACGACAGTCGATTAAATATCTAGGTATTAAACTGACAGCAGTCCTGGACCAACTCCTACAACAGAATTATACACCACTCATAAAACAACTAATCAGGGAACTAGAGACCTGGAACGATAGGCCTATCTCTTGGATAGGGAGAATTCATGCGGTTAAGATGAACATCCTTCCCAGGATATTATTCTATTTCCAATCTCTGCCCATACATGTTTCTAAGACACACTTAGCACCCCTGCAGCAAGCGATAGGGAACTTTGTGTGGCAAAATAAACGCCATAGAATTTCGAGAAATATACTACACAGGCCAAAGACTAGGGGAGGCCTGGGGCTACCTAATCTGTACAATTACTACTTGGCGACACAACTGTCGCAAATAGCCTTATGGCACTCGCCACCTGGAGAACGTAAATGGGTGGATCTGGAATCACTGATGGTGGGGGCAGACATTCCACAATTGCTCATCTGGGTTCCCAAGGTTAATAGACCAATCATTAGGGCTACGTGCCCAGCCATATTGAACTCTATACATATCTGGGATAGAAATCAACAGCGCCACGGGCTGGCGTCCACCCCGTCCCCTCTGATGCCTTTCCTTCGCAATAGAGCGTTCCCACCGGGTATGGCTGCACGAAACTTTAGGAACCTGGAAAGAATAGGCCTACAACGCATACATCAGCTGGTGCAGGATTCAGAGGTGGTAGCCTTTGACACCCTACGGCAACAAGGTCACCTCACGCCCGTCTTAAGGTACTTACAAATAAAAGATTTCGTAAAACTCCCGTGGGTCAGGGCAGCTGCCCAAAAACCCATGACTTTTTTCGAACAAATATGCCTCCAGGACCATATTCCTACGGGTCTGATAACTCGGCTGTACGCTCACCTCTGCTCGGAGCCTAACGAAGGGGGAGTTCTAGCTTACACGGAACAATGGGAGAGGGACCTGGGGGAGCAGTTGGAGGGCAAAGAGTGGCAAGAGATCTGGGAAGCCAATCATAAGTCCTCCGTATGCGTAACAATACAGGAGCAGGCCGTTAAAACAATGCTTCGCTGGTATACTACTCCTGTAAGGCTGCACCAAATGAGAAAGACCCCTATCGATACATGCTGGAGGGGGTGCGGCATGAAAGGGACGTATATCCACATGTGGTGGGAATGCCCACTAATAGAAAGGTTCTGGCAACAAATTAGAGATTTACTAGCCCAGGTAATGTCCAGAGCCCCATCCCTAGATCCATGGTTGTTCTTACTCAGTAGAACGATAAATGGGTGGACTAGACACGAACAAAAACTCATCCATAAAATAACCCTAGCATCCAGGAGAGCTGTGGCAGCGGATTGGCTTAAGCAGACCACTCCATCTATAGCAGGGGTCATCAACAGAATAAGGGAGGTACACATGATGGATGACCTGACGGCAAGAGTTAGGGGAACTCAAAAACAATTCCAAAAAATATGGGCACCCTGGGACGACAGCCCCTTGGGTTAGGGAAACTACTATACTATACTATACTACTGTGTGCAGCATAAGTCTCCCAGAGGGTGAAGGGAGAGACTTATCCGGAAACTGACCAAGGCTCAGATGTGATCACAGGTGCGCAGGTCACAGCCTGACAGCTACCCTGCCAGCTACCGGTAGCACACCAAGCAAGAAATAACTACCCGCAACGGGAGATACACTAGGCCCTTATAAGACCGGAGGGCGAGACGCACCTAGCGGACCCCCTAAAATTAGCACGGGGTAACACCCACTGTATGGGGTGATGGCAGACTAGAGGGCTTACGGCAGCTGGAGAGTTCACACCAATGGTGTATCTGTACTAATATAATTACACAGTTTCAATTGTTATCGAATGCTTTCTTGTTTTTCTATCTTCTTTCTTTTATTATAAAACACAAACCTAAGTTGACAAAATGTAACTCGCAGTACCAGAGAGTGTTACGGTAGCCCATACGATAGGTTTTGGGGGCGATGGGTGATATTCTTAAGGTGTTATTCACTGCATGACTATGTCATATGTATATCAAAGCACTCTGTACACACTGCGCATGTTAAATTACGCTTGAGCTACGAAATGTATTTGATATATGCATGTTATACCTGTCAACATAAATAAAGAAAATAAAAAAATAAATAAAAAAAGGTATTACAAGATACGAATTTGATCAGTTTTTTTACGTCTACATTACTGGTTTAATACGGCTATTTAAAATAAAGATTGGACCTTTTAAACACCATGAGTGCTGCTACCACTTTGGAGATAGCAGCTAGAACTTGTGAGAAAGTGCTTATTCTCTCTCTTTCTCTTTCTCTCCATAATTTCATAAATATACACGTAGACTTCAAATATATATTTAAATTCTACGTGCATATTTATGCAATATTTTTACATAATTAGGTAATTCTATTGATTGCAATTTGAGGGACCTGCCTGACAACCCAGGCCGAAAGTCCAGAGAATTTAATTTACTAATACTGTATTTAATCCTGTAACTTTCCATGACACCCTAAAACCTGTACATGGGGGGTACTGTTTGACTCGGAAGACTTCGCTGAACACAAATATTAGTGTTTCAAAACAGTAAAACTTATATAAGTTATATAAAAATATCACAGAGATGATATTGTCAATGAAAGTGATGTTTTTTGCATTTTTCACACAAACAGCATTTTCACTGATGATATCATTGTTGTGATATGTTTTATTGTTTTGAAACACTAATATTTGTGTTCAGCGAAGTCTCCCAAGTATAATAGTACCCCACATGTACAGGTTTTGTAGTGTTTTTGAAAGTTACAGGGTCAAATATAAGACTTGATTGTCCGTATTTTCACATTTGCCAGATTGGTTATGTTGCCTTGGAGAGCGTATGGTAGCCCAGGAATGAGAACTACCCCCATGAAGGCATATCATTTGTAAAAGAAGACAACCAAAGGTATTGCAAATGGAGTATGTTCAGTCTTTTTTAGTAGCCACTTAGTCACAAACACTGACCAAAGTTAGCGTTCATAATAGTTTTTTGCATTTTTAACACACAAATATAAAGGGTAACTTTGGCCAGTGTTTGTGACTAAGTGGCTACTAAAAAAGACTGGACATACACCATTTTGAATAACCCGAGTTTTCTACTTTAAAAAAAACATGTACATGTGAGGTGTGATTCAGTGATTTATGACAGATAAAAAAAACAACTAAACCCTACCTATCCTCCTCATCCTAAAAATAATGAGGGGGGGCATTAACTAAGTACCTGTTAAAAAAGATAAAATAAAACTTACCATTTGATGTTTTCTTTTGTTCTAAAATCTTCTTTTTTCAGCCCCCAAAAAAGGCCAAATCAAAATCCATAATAACCGACGCACTAAAAAAAAAAAAGAGCGCAAAAAAAAAAAAGAGTTCCGAAGTGGCCGAATTTCTGAAGTGCTGAAGTTGCCGAATTTCCTTAGTTGCCGAATTGCCGAATTTCGGAATGCTGAACCAAATAATTTTCCCATGCACATGCCTAATATCTAAAACAGCTTGCAAAAGATGCAGATCTATTGTCTGCAGTCTTTGCAAACCCTCCCCTCCTTCCCTAGGCAAGACTTTCTTCCCCTTTTTCAACACCTCCATTCATGTGTCTTATTCCCTGAGCTCCCCCATCTGTTTCATTCCCTTAAACCCATGTGTTTAATACCCCCCCCAGCACCTCCAGTTATGTGTCTCATTCCCCTAGCCTCCTCATGTTGATCATCCCAGATCCCCAAATGTCTCATTCCCCCAACATCCCCATGTGTCTCATTTCCTCCTCCCCCCTTGTGTCTTATCTCCTCTCCCCCATGTGCCAGCTTACCTCCTAATCATAGCCTGGCCGCGGACTAGCTAGAGGAACTTGTTTCCCTCCACTCGGTCTGGCAGAAAGCAGTTCGGCGCTTTCAGTGCGTGCACTACCAGTCAGCCCGCGAAAAGGGAAACAAGATTTTCTAGCCTGGTTCACAGCCTGGCCACGCTCAGGGCCGGCCTTAGGGGTGTGCGAGCTGTGCGGCCGCAAAGAGCGCCATAAAGCAGGGGGCGCCGTGCGGCCGACACAGCTCATACATGGCCGGCCAGGATAAAAATAAAATTGTGGCAGGGCTTACCGTGTGGTGGGGCGGGGCTAAAAGTGCAGTGTAACTGCTACAGGGGAAGCAGGAACGAGTCCCTGCTTCCCCCAACAACCAGAATCCAGGAGCTGCACTGCCTGTCTGCCTCCACAAGGAACAGAGGTAACTATGAGTGATTGTCTGCCTGTGTGTGTGTGTGTGTAGGGGGGCTGTCTGCCTATGTGTTTGTGTGTGGCTGTCTGCCTCTGTGTTTGTGTGTGGCTGTCTGCGTGTGTGTTTGTGTGTGGCTGTCTGCCTGTGTGTGTGTAGCTGTCTGCCTCTTTGTGTGTGGCTGTCTGCTTGTGTGTTTGTGTGTGGCTGTCTGCCTGTGTGTTTGTGTGTGGCTCTCTGCCTGTTTGTGTGTGGCTCTCTGCGTGTGTGTTTGTGGCTGTCTGTGTGTGACTGCCTATGTGTGACTGTCTGGGCAGACTAGATGGGCCGAATGGTTCTTATCTGCCGTCACATTCTATGTCTGTGTGTTCGTGTGGCTTTCTGCGTGTGTGTGTGTGACATGGTGTGTGGGAAGGGGAGGGCTCGGGCAACGCGGTGTCTTATTGACTGCGTGGTAGGGACCTTTAGGGTCCGGCTAGTTAGGGCGTTAAGGGTCAATAGTATGTTAAATTTAGGGTCTTGGGACATGTTGTGGAGCATATCAACTGAACATCACTTTAGAAGCCAAATTGAACAAGTATATCAAGTTATTTATAAAGGGTTGGGTGTTGCACTGGGCGTTATGTCTTGCACTGCATGGCTAGCAGCTGTAGCGGGGGGCCTGCAAACCGTCATCCGATGCCACTGTTGTGTTTCAATAGGTAGTCCTTTGTATTTGCCAGCCCAGTGTCTCCACTCACCCTCCTGCTGGCCTGTGTCAAGTGTCGGTCCTTAATCGAGGCAAAAGCTGTCAGGTGCGGTGTGGAAAGATCTGGACACTTCTGCTGATTAGGTCCTTGCTGGTAGTTGTCTGTGCTGGCGTGGTATGCTGGGGAGATCTCTCCCCTTGCGTGTGCCGGGATTAGGGCACTGTTGCAGCGGCCTTGTGATTGTCGGTCGTCCGTTATCTTCCTGATGTGGATCTCACGCCTGAGTACTGTCTCATCTGTGTGGAGCCACGACGTTTCAGAGGCAGGAATCCTCTTCTGCCCTGGGGTTGCATGAGGGCTGGTGTTTGTAGGCCACGAGCCTGGAGACCGTCGTGGTCCAGGCTCGACCCTTTCGGGGTGGTGCGAGGAGTCTTGGCAGGTCGCTTGGGTCTTCACTTTGCTTTTCCCTGCTTGTGTGGCCGGCACCTCTGGGGCTTGCCCCTTGTTGCTCTCAGCCCGGAAGGGCCTAAAATGCTGGAGTTGGAAGCTTGGGTTTTGGTGCTGCCCTGAGGAGTACCCTCACTCACCCATCTGCCTTCGGCTCTGGTCGTAGTATGTAGGATTTAGCGTGGCGCTTCAGCCCGTAAGTGTGCCCATAACTTGGCCCAGAAGCAGTCAAAGATAAGAGTAATGGGGTCTCTTGCTTGTTCCCTGGTGTGCGTTGCACCAGGTTGTTTTCATTGCTTGTCAGACGTTGTTGTCTGATGGTTATCCGCCATCTTGGGTGTACCCGTCTCCGCGTGTCTTATGGAGGTCTTTGTACCTGTCGCTTGGTGCTGGGTTCGGGGCACTCTGTCTGGCAGGGACCGGGATATCCCCCACCGGTCCACAGTTTCGCACTCGCGTGTTGCGTTCAGCACCTGGCGGGAAGGTGGCCGTCCTTCCCCCGTGCCTTCGCTAGGTCTCATTCTTTTGCCGCAGTTCCCGGTCGAGACTGGTGCAGAGTTTGGTATCTGCATGTTCATGGTTGCTTCCTCTTGCCAATAGGCTGATTTGTGGAGGAATCTCAGCGTTTTTTCTCGGGTTATCTGCCGAGTTTCTGCCTTCACTGTAGAAGCTCTTGTAGCGTGCGTCTAGTCAGGTTGCCTGTCCGGCTCCGCCCCCTTGTTGTCTTCTTTTAAAAAATATATATATATATTTATGTGAAGGGTTATTCAGGGATTCATGACAGATATCAATATTACAATGTAACTTGCATTAATTTAAAAAAAAAAAAAAAAAGTGGTTTGAAAATAGCAAAGTGCTACTTGTACTTGTTGCCCTATAATAAAAAAAAAAAGCTAAGAACATGTTAACATTAGGTATTTGTAAACTCAGAACAAAATGTAGAAACTATTTATCATGGGTGTTTTTTGGCGGTTGTAGTTAGAAAAAGTATTTTCTTTTTACATTTTTTCATAATATTTTATAATTTATTTTTTATAGTAAATTATATGATATGATAAATATAATGGTATCTTCAGAAAGACCATTTAATGGCAAGAAAAACAGTATATAATATGTGTGGGTACAGTAAATGAGTAAAAGGAAAATTACAGCTAAACACAAACACCGCAGAAATTTTAAAACAGCCCTGGTCCCAAATGGTAAGAAAATTGAAAAGCGGTCTGGTCACTAAGGGGTTAATAGTACAGATATAAAAATGTCAATAAAAATACATCTTTCCTTCACCAAATGTTTCCTATCCCAGCTGGTTAGGAAACACTATAAAACTATAGTTTTTAAGTTTTCAGCTCAATGCTAGCAGAGACACATCTTATAATTCAATCATTATGTTTTATTCATACGTTGATGATTTGCTGTTAGTTGTCTGGGGGAAGGGAGCAGAAAGGAGTACAAATTAAAAGAAGGCACAAGATAACTCATACACATTGAAATTGCTTTATTGACCATTTGTATATTAATAATTTGATATACAGTTTAATATGTAGTCTTTTATGCAATGTACCAAATTGTTCCCTTCAATAAAAATTGTTAAAAAGTAAAAAAAAAATCTGTTGCCTTTTCCCCCCCCCCCCCTTTTTCTTTTTTAAACATTAGCCTGTCCCAAACTCGTTTCCCTTAGCCCATTGACATGCACACCCAAGTATGGGCTGATGATAATACTTCCTCCATCTTTGAAATTTTAAGATGGCAGTGGTTAGAAAGGAGGCCTGGAGGAGCTGGAAATAACCAAAAATGATTATTGGTACTTCAGGAGGTTTGGAGGAATGGTTCCCTCGGCTGAAAGTCGAGGGACATAACGTGACAGATCTGCTTTAATGTTTGCTAATCATGAAACAATCTCTATACTGCTATTGATCAGACTTGAAACAGAGAATTGACATGGACCCTTAAAAGTAGCATCATTTGGAAAAGAAATAAAAATGGAAGAGATGAAGGAATGCTTTTTTGGCCTAAATTTGACAGTAGTCATTTTTACATTTAATGAATAAACCTATAATCTGAGTCTGATTACCCATTAGGTGGTCAAGGCAGTTACTTAGTCTGGTGCATTGAGATTGTGCATTGAGATTCAGCTCTGACTGTACAGGGTGCTTCCTTGAACCAGCAGGTACATCAAAAGATCTCCAGCTTGGCCATGAGATCGTCGTCGTCGTCCTCCCACTTACCGCTTTCAGTCTCTTTGTCACACACAACACTCAGCCACTATACACACTCTCATACAGACTCATTACTGTTTACTCAATACACATACAATACTCCGATACCACACACACGATACTCACAGAAACACACTTACAAAGTGCAGAACTCTAGGAGGGAGCTCCATTCTGGCACCCTGGGCAATCTTAATTCTGCCCGCGGCCGCAGTAATTATTAGACTGCAACTATCTCGCAAGCTATAAATAACATTCATAGAGTGGGTTCTTCTGAATATGTTTTACATGCTGCTCATCCACTGTCCATTCAATTTTAACCCTACAGAAAAGGTTGGATCAATTATTTCTGTCTAGGCCTGTGTATCTGTAGACCAGTAACTCCTAATTTTCAGTTTTTACACTTGGTGTAATAAGTGATAAGTGCACTATGTAATGTGTAGAGTTGGGCCAGCCATGTATAGTTAAATTAAAGTGGGGGCACTGCAAACCTCCTCCAACGGTGTTGCACTATTATTTGTTATTTTTTGTTTTAGAGATCCAGCTGTATCCCATTTTCTGTATACTTTTGTATCTGTGTGAGGTCACCATCAGGGAAGGGACCTTGGGAAGCTGTACTACTAAGTTAAGTAGCTTTTTCAATATACTGTCACTTTTGGGTGTATTGGACATGTTTTGTGTTTTATATAGTTAAATTACGTTCTGTTTTTTTTTTTTCTATGGAAAATGTCTACTTTCATGCTCCACGTGTAGGCTAGTAGCAGGGGACTACACATTGTATTCTAAAAATAATTGGTTTGTGAAAATGTTTTTAATCTGTATGCAGACTGCTTTTTCTTGGATGGCCCACCTTCTTTTAGTTAGGTTTAGTTAGATTCTTTCATTGTTGCTGCCCCTCCTTGGACCTCATCCGACATCCATACCTCCAATTGGACATTTATTTTTGTAGGAAAACATTTGTTAGTGTGTTTTGTTTTTGATTTTTACACATATAAAGTTTGACTTAAACACATTTATTTTTTTAAATTTATATGGCATTTAATAGGCAAATTACATCACCAGAATACATCTGCATAACATAAAGAATTATAGTTATCATAAGCTGAGCTGGTATGTAGAAAACATCTCACTTTATAAGTAAAATAGATAAATGAAGATACGCAAGAAGTGATAGGTTATCACACAAAGTAAAGTTGCAGCAACAAATGCACTAATAGTAAGAATAGATGTTGAGATTTATCTAATGTAGAACAGACTTATATCACTGGCAAATAGCTGTTAAAAGGTATATGTAGCTATGTAGATACAGTGTGCTGAAACATAAAACTAGACAAAATGTAAATAAAAACTAAAATGCACAAAAGAATAGAAAAACAGTGACCCACTCATGACCATGCTCTAATTGTGATCATCCCACTGCACAGTTAGGAATAACAGGAATAAAAGTCCCGTAGTGAGACAGTGTCCACTTTATCCAGAACCATCCACTCCACCAGTCTCAGGCCTAATGAGAACCTGTATGCAATGTCTACCGATTTGGTTGCTCCTTGCGCCCAGATAAGCATTTCTTTTGGGCACTGTCACTTGATCTTGGCAGTTGTAGCCTATCCAAGGGAGTAGAGCACATCTCAGGGGTTTTCCCATGTAGGCTTTCAGCCCAAGTATGTGGTCGTGGGCAATGAACCTCCTGGAGATATAATTGAAGGAAGACAGCTTAGTTGTCTCCCCAGGACTCCCAGAGCAAGTGGGTATAGAGGCTATGGCCATTATATGAACAAGGCCATCCAACGTTTGAGGAACCAGGTAGGAAATTAACCAGCTCCTTTGAATCTTTGGCTTAATTTCAGCCAAAAAGCGTTGAATTTCTTGTCCAGGCCAGCCATTACATTATGTGACAGTCCTCTTGGTACGAAAGAGCTTGTGGCTTCTGCCATCTTAGGCAGGTTTGTGCACTTGTGTTGTTTAGATGTTAAGTAGGCTTCAATGTTATCAGTGATTCTTGAGAAAAGTCGAGCATAACTTTTTGGGAAAACCCTAGCCGGCTGATTGACCATGTTGCAAACTGTGGCTTTAGGGTGAATGTGAGTGGAGAGATTGTTCACTTCTACCACAATCGTATTGTCAGGACCAGCCCCAGTTAGCCCACGGAGCCTCCAGGCAAAATATACCCCAAATATTTACAAATGTCTCTAGTAACACACTTACCCCTGCAGTTTGAATGCCCAATATCTCAAGTAAAAAATCTTAAAAAGGGCAGAAAACAGCCTTTTCTCCTGCAGCTCTGTATAGACGCGACTGATAACCATGGCAGTTAGGTTCGCCCTCCACACTTAGTAGTTTGTTTATACACTTTTGTATAGTTTTTTTGTAGAGAAAGTTTTGCAGCTTTTTTAAAATGAACACTGCCTACATGGCCCATCCACCCATAGCTGTCTTATTGTTTCTCTCAATCTACAATGTTTCTCCAATTAGACAGCTCATTTGATCAGGAAGCACAGCAAAGGTAGCTAACATAAAGGCCATTGTAACAACTCTCAGTAGCATCTAAGAGTTGTAACAGTAATAGGGTAACTGGATGTCAATGCTAAACATATTGCCATCTGATCTGGTTCAAAAGTCTATATTCATATGTTTGTAAGCACTCAACAGAAACATGTTTATTAATGCAGATGTGTAGAGATAACAGAAAAGGAAAACAACTGGTTCTTGACTAACAACCATGCCTTTATTTTTCACAGAGACTATTACAGATAGTTTCATTGTACTGTCATGAATCGCACCGTGTCATATGGAAGGTCAGGTGTGTGTGGGGGAGGGCAGTGTGTATGGTGTGTGTGTGTGTGTGTGTGGGGGCAGTGTGTGTACGGGGCTAAAGTTCACTCCTACTACTGCGACCACCAGGAAGTGGTGAGAGTGAACTCTAGCCCGTAGCTCCAGGGCTAGAGTTCACCCTCGTGAGAGCCGGAGTGTTGCCCCGGGTCCTCTTTCTCCCCCTCACTGATCCTCTTTGTCAATGTCTCCCCTCACCTTCCCAGTCTCTCTCTTCCCCCCCTCTGCCTCTTTCACCCCCTTTCCATGTGTCTCTCTCCTCTCCCCATCTCTCTCCCTCCAACCCATCTCTTCCTCCCCCTTTCCCCGTGTCTCTCCCCATCTCTCTTCCTCCCCCCTTTCCCTCTGTCTCCCCCCTTTCCCCTCTTGTTTCTCCCCACCTCTCTTTCTCCCCCTTTCCCTGTGTCTCTCCCTCCTCCACATCTCTCTTCCTCCCCTCTTTCCCTGTGTCTCTCCCTTCTCCACATCTCTTTCTTCCCTCTTTCCCTGTGTCTCTCCCTCCTCCCCATCTCTCTTCCTCCCCCCTTTCCCTGTGTCTCTCCCTCCTCCCCATCTCTCTTCCTCCCCTCTTTCCCTGTGTCTCTCCCTCCTTCCCATCTCTCTTCCTCCCCCCTTTCCCTGTATCTCTCCCTCCTCCCCATCTCTCTTCCTCCCCCCTTTCCCTGTGTCTCTCCCTCCTCCCCATCTCTTTTCCTCCCTCCTTTCCCTG